ACAAAAGATGATTTTCATCATGGGTGCCCTTTAAAACATTGATACTGTGTCAAAATTTATGTGTTTGTATATTCACAATTAACATAAACATAAAAACATGGGATTTATTTATTTTGTTAATTAGACCAATTGTTTCATTAAAAAAAAAAAAACTTGCTGAAAAAACCAAAAAATTTTTTACTGAAAACCGTGCATTGTAAATCCAGAGAAACAGAATTTTAAAGTGGTCTCTTACTTTTTTATGCAGCTGTTTATGCATTGTATTTATGGTGATACATTGTAAAAATATTCTTGCTGCCTTAATTTTTTTTGTCAAATCAAATGATCCTTTTAGTAATCTCAATTTACACCAGTCAGATTGACTAAATATTCCACTGTGAAGATACTGGGTTCCACGCAGTTCATTTACGTTCTCCCAATGTTAATTAAATTAACTTGATGAATTTAAGTAGTTTGAACATAAAACAAATACATTGTCCCCAAAAAAATCTTAAGAATTGTGTCAGACAAGAGTGTCAGAGTGCAACTGGAAGTTAAACTTTGTATAACTATTATGTTTAAAAATATAATAGTCTGTTTTTCTATTTGATGTTATGTGATCGTCTTTTATTTGATGTCCCGTCTGAAGTATAATGGCTCCACTGGCAGTGATCCAGTTTGACTGTAGGGGCCATCTGTCTCTAAGCACGCTCTACACACAACCAGACAAATGTTTTCAACTCTGATAACTGACCCAAGAATTGCCAGATTTGCCAAATTACCATAGCAACTGTCATAGATGAGGACCCTGGTTCATATCAGCACCTTTGTGTACTGATTCTCAATGTTGTCTTTGCAGAAATGCAGCCTCAGGACTAGTGTTTGTTTTCATCGCTCATCCTGTTCTTTCCTTCTGGCACTTTCTTTCTCTCTGTTTGATCACCTTTCAAGGAATTGTGGAAAGCAGCTCACGTGTTTGGCACTGTAAGGCAGAGATTCGCTCTGAGACTTGGACCCTTTTAGAGATCACATAAAGTTAATCTCTGCAGGCTGTTTCTCTCACACAAAGATATAGATGGACAAACATTTGCACAACTTACAAATATGGAGTATATGTCAGTGTAATGGAGTAGCCATGAAAATATTACAAGTATTAAAAAACTATATTGTTTACCCAACCTCATATTGTTCAACAAAAAACTTGCATTAGAGCAATTCCAGCGTTATAGATGTGACATTTGCAGTAAGAACTTAAAAGTATACATTAACATTATATTGATCTGTTTATATTGTCTAAAACTACTAACTACAGAAATAAGGGATCAGAAAAGTATCAATCTGTGAACATATCTTATATTTTAAATGAGGAAACTAAATGTGTTATGGATGTGACCAAAAAAGTATGCGAGTTTGCAGTAGGGATGTCCAGATCTGATCATGTGATCAAAAATTGGGCCCAATCACTCGGTTTCAGATTTTATCAAAATTAGACGTTACCTCCCGATAAGGAGTGTGTGTGTGTGAGTGTGTGTGTGAGTGAGTGTGTGTTTTTAACACATCTATAGTCATGCGATGGCACAGAGTTCGATCTAACAGTAACAATATTAAAAACTTATTAATAAAGTCATCTGGAATGGCAAAGAAACCATTCTTAAAGGACACCCAGAGTTCATCCAGATTATTTGGATTCATCTTCAATGCCTCCTCCTTCATCTTACCCCAGACATGCTCAATAATGTTCATGTCTGGTGACTGGGCTGGCTAATCCTGGAGCACCTTGACCTTTGCTTTCAGGATCTTTGATGTGGAGGCTAAAATATAAGAAGGAGTGCTATCCTGCTAAAGATTTTGCCTTCTCCTGCTTGTAATGTAATGGGCAGTACAAATTGTCACCTTAGCATTACAAGGTTGTATCTGAAATTTTTGTCAAAATTGAGTTATTGACATATTCTTATAAAATGACAACTTATTTACACTGTAAAAAATCTTACGTGCTATTTATAAAAAAAAAAGTGTGGTAACACTATTGCACGTAATATTTTTAGGTAGTTTGAAAACGAGATTTTTTTTGGGGGCAAAAACCACTTGAATGAATCGTGAAAATTACAAAATCTTTTGAGTGATAGATGATGATTTTAATATTATTAGTCGAATGTGCTTTTATAATTTAAGCAAATCCACCACCATTTACTCACATAAATTTTTTTAGCAAAAACCACTTGATTGAATCATGTGTAAATGACTAGGTTTTTTTGAGTGATAGATGATGATTTCAATATTATTAGTGGAATGTGCTTTTTTAATTTAAGCAAATCAACCACCATTTACTCAAATGTATTAATGAAAATAACTCATTCATAAAATGTAAAATATATAGTTTATAATAAAACACATACACAATGCATTTTTGATAACAATCATTTTATAACATGTTCCACTGATAACAAAATGGTACAATTTGTTAAACAAATCTATTTAAAAGTTACAGCAACGTTAAGCTCTGAAAAAAAGTTCTTTATTCCTGTCATGAAAAAAAAATCTGTCAACTTTCTTTTGTAGGAATAATCACATTTTAGACAAACTCTGACAGATTTTGTGAATTGCACAACATATAAGACCAGTATAAAAGCTGTATCTCAAATTATTAGCAACACAATAAATCAATCAGTCGATGCAGTAACAATTTCCCAAAAGTTTGTAACAGTGAATTTGTGTCAGAAACAAAAGTTTGTTAATAAAAGTTCTTAAAAGTTTGTTTGTGGGTGATTTTAATTTGGGGAATACTTGTATGAATCCAGTTCAGCAATTCTAGATTTCCAAGCCAGCCATGACTCGCTCATCCTCCAAGACAATACAGAAATCCTTATTGTAGGTCATCTCTCTGGCTGACAGCAATCCTCTGTGCATTCACACACTGTAAGATAAACATTGTTTATTATTTTGAAACTATGCAATTGTAAATTTCAAATGTTTAAGGTTTACTAAAACACTTTAAGGAAATACATTAAGGAAATAAACCATTTCTTTGTATCTCTGTAAACATTAATTCCTCAATGTTTGAGTAGACATTGCTGACTGACACAAGTACACAAGTATTTTGACTTATAATGGACAGGGTGTTTTCAAAATGCATACTAGTGTACAAAAAAAATAAATATCACCAAGTTTATACAAAGAATAGTGCATTCAACAATGTTGTGACTGAGTTATATTTTTGTCTTTTGTAAAAATGCAAAAATATAAAATGCAGTTTTCTGAAAATCACAAATATCTGAATTAGTTTAAGACACTTTCATTGCACTACTGAATGAGCTGCTCCACTTTTTCCTACAAATAGACCAGCAACAGAGGATAGCTTCTCTCGTCTTATCCCTGATTTAATGTGAGGTCTGATGCAACAAAAGTGTAGAGATTAGTAATATTGCCTAATATTAATAATCATAATAATACACAAATAACATTATAAATTACCTGCTGTTTGGCACCCATTCTCTTTATCAGAATCTGCCTGAGTAAACTGCTCCTCTTTTGTGGGAAAATACTGTGAACATTTTCTTCATTAATCTGAAAAATTAAGCAAACAAATATTAGCATTTTTGTACAGTATTATATATAAACATAGTTAATAACATTACATCATCAATGCTGTAAAAGGAACCTTATGAAATGGAAAAACACTAGCTGTGCGTAAACCCCATTGAATGGCTATAGCTAACATAGCTTAGCTTAGGCTAACCAACAAGATCACTGTTGTTCGTCCACCCGCTTAAATGTTGCCTGATCACAGCTGTTAAATATTACAATGCACATAATTTGTTCAGTTTAAATATACAATTCAAAATGAGCATTAAAGCAAATCAATTTCAAATAGGAATGGGTGTTTTAAAAATACCCGTGTACCCATATGGCAGAAACTAGGCTCCCGAACAAGCTTAAACAGCAGTGTCTTTTATGAAAGAGCTTATTTAAGACAATAAAAATGATAAACTGTTAAGGCTTACCTCTTAGCTTAGCATGCTTACAGTTGATCTGCTTCTTCAAAATTTCGTCTGGTCACTGCCGTTGTTGAGATTCAAATGCAAACATCTCAATCAAATCAGTATAATTGAGTGAATTTTCTTTAAAAAAATGTGAATCCATCTTTCCTCAATTTTTATTAGCTTAACTGGTTTCTAAAAGTAAGCCTAATAATTGCACTGGTTTACTTAAAAAAATAAGTGAAATTTATCTCTTGATTGTATTAGCAAGATCTTCTTAATACTTTTAAATTAATCCAGAATATTATTTTTTTAAAGAAAATATGCACATTATTTTTAATGACCACATTAATTTTTTTAAAGAAATTTACAAGCCTCAAGATTCATTTTTTACAGTGTACGTTATGGGATGTTTTTTTGCAGTATTTGTGATGATTGGGATGCAGTTTAACAGATGATTCATCAGAAAAATCTACTGTCTGCCAAATGATCTACCAGAATCAAGATATTGTTTGTTGCGCTTACAACTGGGATTAACGACAAGCCTTTTGTCAGGTAGAGTAGTTAAATACAACAGAGCAAATATACAAATTTACAATTAATTGTACAAACATTTAATTTAATTTGCCAAAATGGCTTAAATTTGGTTGAAATGCTGACAGAATCTCAGATCCTAAAACAAATGTGGGCAATAAACTCTTTCTCTAAGGTTAAATTATTGACATTACAGATGTGATGTGACTTGCAGATTTGCACATGCTGGAATGATATATTGTGCAGTCCTAATATGTATTTTAAAACAAAGTCATGTGTCAGAGAGTTCAGGAGCAATCTTTTCATTTTCACCATCACAATGAAAACATTAAGGAAATAAATAAAGAAAAAAAGAATTCAATGCTTGCTAAGCACACGTTTTTGTTTGTTTTGCAGTGTTATCGGCTTCATAAAAAGAGACACCACCAATTATAGTGTAAGATAGATTATTTAAAAAAATCGGACATAATTTAAAGTAAGCTAATTTACTGCTTCCAAACTTTCTTTCAGGTTTCCTTCAACTGCTTAGTCAAACAGTCCCGCTCTACCTGTGAATGGCCTGCATACAGTTTTTTCTGCATATTAAACTTGCATTCAGGAAAAATCCAGACATCAAAAAGGTAAGAATCTTCTATGTTGCATTTATTTTTATTACATTCTACCAAATAATTGGCAAAATACATTTTAAACACTTAAAAGGTTTTGCGAGAAATCCTGTTCTGCATTCAGGTCTCCCTGAAGGCAGCCAAACTCGATTTATTGTTACGCTGCGCTGAGCTGCATGCATAAAACCACAGTGAGGTGACAAGAGCTCAGCATCCCTCTTTTTAAATGCCGGTAATAATGAGTAAACCACTGGATGCCAGGCAGGGCTATTGACTCAAGTAAAGAGCTGGCATGAATATTTGAACTGGCAAGAAGCAGATGGTAGTTTCCAGTAGTTCCCACATTGAAGACTTTTTAATCCCTCTTCCTGACACTGTTGTTGAATGAGTCAGCTATTACTGCAAAACATTGAACTCGGTGACAACTAGATTCATCCTATTAGTGACACCTTTTGATTTCAGACAAGCTAAAGCCTCTGGACAAATGTCACAGTCTTTATACAAGCGCAGACATTACGGAAAATGACGGTGAAGGTTTGTTCACGGTTTGTTTGTATAAGATGTTTGCTTGATGGGTCATCAAGCACTTCTTTCCAGCCATAAAGCAGGCCAAGTATTCTGACTAGCAAAAATAAGTGTACTCTGAATCGGTAGATTCTTGAGCTCCAAACTTCTCTCAATTGAATTAAGTCAATTTGCTGTTATAGAGGTTTAGCTCCATTACAAGCTACTATTGAATATTACACAGCGATGAGATCCTTATGTAAATTCTAGCATGGAGACTGGATATCTGTACCCGTGGGTACAACATGACGTGTTTGAGCTTTCAGCATTAATTCATGAGAGAGACTTGGTTCGAACTTGGTGGATCAGCATGCTCTATTGTGAATAAGATGCAACTTCATTAATATGCAAGATACAACTTCGAAGACGACAGAGAGACGCCACGTTGTGTTTCCAACATATTTAAAACAAGTGGAAGAAGAAGAATTGTTGAAGACATGGGTCGTCACTGTTGCGTTTATTATTGTGCCGCAACAAAGGACTTGTTTCAATTTCCCTGCGATGAGTGCACAGCTCATGTGTGGACCTTACAGTGGTCTGCGAACACACAACAAAAATATATGTAAGGAACAATTTCCACCCGAACGCTTTTGCATCTGGAAATGGTTAAATCCGCATTTCCACTCGTGTCCTTTTAAAAAAGACGCAGTTCCCAATTGTATTAGTTGTCCTGTTTCTACAGATTTGGTAAATGAGCGATCAATGTTTCTTGCTTCTGTTTATTCAGGTGGCAAAATTGGATAGTATCGACAGTAGTGACATACCTTAGTCAAATTCATTTAGTTACTAAGTTTACAGTAATATCACTACAGTATTATGGACTGAAACATCAGCAGTAAATGCTGCTCTCCGAATGTAAACATGTAAACATTGTCTATACACACACACTGCTGTTTGACGATATCCCCTGCATCTGTGACAATCAGTGCATGCACTTACTGAAACTCCCCTTTTCTTGCAAACCCTTCCCTATTTCGCTTCTCTACACTCCCACCTAAACAAGGCTGGAATTACAATTTCCTGACTTTTTTCAAACTAGAGGTGTGAAAACACCCGGCTGAGGCGGGGGGATTTTATGGCCCTTTAACACTATTTTTGTGAGGCAACATGATGCATGCTTTATTTAAAGTGCTATTTTTAGAAGTTTCAGGCTAGAAATCTATTGAAAGTAATGCATATATTTGTTTACGAACACAATAAATTGATAAATGATGGTAAAGCCATAATAATATGAACAATTTATATTTTGAATGAATGTTTTCCACAAATAAAGCTAAAAATGTTTCAGGATTTCACAAAACAAAAATGTATCAGGGTTTCAACCAAAATATTTAGCAGCACATTGGTTTTCAACATTGATGACACTTAGGGCTCTATTTTGACGGTCCATGCGCAAAACGCAGGGCTCAAACGCTTTCAGGGCGTGTCAGAATGCATTTTTGCTAATTTAAGGATGGGAAAATGGGCTTTGCGTCGTGGCGCATGGTCTAAAAGGGTTAAGTTTATTTTCTTAATGAGTTATTGGTGTGTTTTGAGAATAAACCAATCAGAGTCTCATCTCCCATTCCCTTTAAGAGCCAGCTGCGTCGCGCCATAAGCGCATTTGCTATTTACAGGACGTAAAGTAAGTGGAAGTGGAAAAACTGAGCATTTCACAAACAAACAGTTAACATTTTTTTTTTTTACAGAAAACAGTTAAACAGAGCATCTTCTGCGCAAGAATGTGAGATAATCGATCTACTTTTACTTTCGCTCTTGGATAGGGAAACCTTTACGCACAGACATCAATTAGCTTATAAATAATTAATTTCATTTGTTTAGCGCAAATATTTGTTTCAAAACTATTTCTAAATTCAGTTCTAATTTCCAGCAAACGAATAAATTAACAATAATAACAAAGTGTGTTCAAAAACCTGAGTTCTATCCTAAAACACATGCTGTGCCCCATATGATCTAAAACCTGCAGGTGGGCTAATCAAAGCTTGTTTTTAATCAAACAAATAAAAATATGGATATAATAAATAATACTGCCAATAATAATAACATTATTCAAAAGCAAATTGTTATGAATGAACTGAAAAAGCTTCCCGAGATGAAAAAGGCAAAAAAACAGTGGTTTTTCATATTTATGTAGGCTAGAAAAATAATGTTTTGTAATTTAATCTTTTATATTTATATTCTGTATATATTCTTATTATATCCTTTATATATAGGCCTATGCTTAATATTAAAAAAATTCATATGTAAAGATATTTGCGTATTGCTCTACATCTTGTAGGCTATTAAGCAGTGTATAAGCGGGGCGCAACTCTGCGCTGGAGTTTAGACCGGGAAACGAATCTTGCGCCAAGCTGAAACTAGCAAACAAGTATTGCGCCGGGTGTATGATGGGGCCCTTAATGTTTATAATACAATGATTACTGTAGGGTCATGCCATTGAAGACTGTGCAACTGAATTATTTAATTGCATTGCATTATAAACTCTTAAAAATATGGACCTCTTTTAAATGCAACTAATGTAACATTTTATACCAGAAAGTGTATTGTGATCGCTATAATAATTTAATTAAATATAAAAATGTATATTGATTTACTATTTTGAAGTTTGAAAAGCTTGTTTGTTTATTAACACTATTAAATTAAATGTCTATAAAGTTCCAGGCACAGTGCTGTGTAAGAGAGTTGGGAAGTGATATTTTTTATTTATTTATTTATTTATTTTTATTTATTTATTATTTTATTTTATTTATTATTATTATTTTTTGTTTGGTTAAATCTTACTAGATTATTGATTTCCAAGTAATCTTGCTGTATTGAGCTTATTCTTGACGCAAGCGCTGGGACAGTCATTGGAATCTTTTTGGCTCAAGACTTTTGGTTTCATTCACTTCCATTGATTTTTAGAGGTTAAAAACAGCTCGTTATACTGCTTGATGTTGCAAACTAACATTTCTGTATTATATTATTCCATCTTTTATGTATAATCATAAACACTTGTTTGTAGAGCAGATCGTTTGACAGTTTTCTGCCGTTTATTTTTCCTAGTCATTTCTCCTATAGGCAACTGAATCGGAAGTTTTAAAACAGTTAATACTTCAGTACTTCTGCTACTGTTTATAAAATAGTTTATAAAATACATGCTGAGTTGTTTTAGCTCAACATTGAAAGAATCCAACTGCTGAATTAGACTTTTCAGTATTTTTTAAAACTAATGCACGTGTTTGTCCACATTTTATCCAGATTTGGGCTGAAACCAAATTTTAGAGTAGAAGAAATGAGACTAATACTATCAAGCTTCTCTCACTCTTTTTTTTTTTCCACACACAACTGTCAGTCTGTCTATAGGTTTCACTTTGTGACTTGAGTGCCATTACTGTGTTCTGTCTGGTCTTGTTGGTTATACTCCAGTAATGTGAGTCTCTAGGTAGGATTTACTGTGCTTGTGCAGGAGATGATATAGATTGACTGTCAGTGGTCTGAATTGAGTTTGCCAGAAGCAACTGAATGTCTGACTCTGCACGTGGTCTCACAAAATAGGATATGGGATTCGTGTGCAAAGGAGGAGGCACTTTCATTTTTAGGGGGAACTTTCTCTCAAAGACAAAAAAGGGCAGGTGCTCAAGCACCCGAAACCCCCCTTCTGCCCATGCCTGTTGTTTATAAGGAAGTAAAATTAAATAAAACAAAGATAAATGATATGTCTTATAATATGTCTTCACCATTCAGTCTGCGGCTGCTCATGACCTCTTGATGAGTTCACTACACCAGTGTTCAGAAAGACTTGCACTGTGGTTGTCATAAATCAGAAATGATCAGTGTTTTCAATCACAAGAGACTCATTTCAGGTTTCAAATGACAAAATACACATTGGTAGCAGCAGAACAACCCTTTACATTTTATTACATTTGGACACGTTGTCTGCGAAAAGGGCAATAATCATATATTAAGCATAATCTCTCAACATGCTTACTTCATACAGTATACACATTGTGTGTATAGACATTTTTGCTGTCCGTTATTATACTTTTGCGCATGCGGGTCAGTTTAGGACCATGCTCTGTTTACACTGCAAATCTGATGATGTTGGTCACATTTATAACAACATTGTGATCCGCTATGCAAAAAAAATCTGATCTCAGAAAATATCTGATTTGAGCACTAAGCCTTGCAGTGTGAACGTAACCTTAGAGGTTGTGCACATTACTTTTAAAACATTGTCCAAATTGGAGTTTGTTGTAAGCTAAATACACTTATAAACGGACATCTTGGTGTTGAATATATTTCTTCATATTCAGAAGAAAATGCATGTTATATGTTTTGTGGGTCAAAGATCCAATTCAAAGATCCGCAAAAATATAATTGCGATATTTTTACATATTTATTATTAATATTATCATTATTATATAGGGCAAGAGTAAAATATATAAAAGTGGTAAAATATATTTTTCAGT